ATATATACCTCACCAAAGAGTAATATCATTAGTAAAAGCCTTTGCTGACTGATTAAATGAATCTTCTCCATATTCCAGAACTCCAAATGATACAAACTCATCAGATTTAATTTTTTTAAGTAGCTTTCTAAAGATATGGAAAGAAAAATAAATCTATGGTTGAAACGTTTGAGTTCTGAAGAGCAGGTGAATGGATTCCCACGTTATTTCCATATAAACAAAGATTAGCTGTAGGACATTAATCAAAAGAGACCACAGCAGTAGAAATTAAACTTAACAACAATTAATTAACTTCATATGGAAAAATAAAACCTAATTAATACAGTGTATTCCCTCCCAGAACAACTGCCCCTGCCCCACAGAATAAAAACCACTGCATTTCCAGGCAGTCTCTCAGCAAATACTAACTAGTCAAGAGAGCTGGAACTTTGATACTACTGCTACCTATAGCCTTTCTTATTAAAGAATTTAAAATAATTCTAGAAAATATGTGACCACCTTTTATGATACTTAATTTATATAAATTACTTAAAGTCTCTCATTTTTGCTACTTTATTCTTTCCCTATTTAGATAATGTCAAGAAAATCCTAGAAAAGACAAAACATACCTCTAATAGGTTAGGTTCAAATAAAAATTATCACAATATTTTATACGTATAGATTTTCAACTATATATTTTTAACTATTCTTTTCCCTATGGCCAAAATGTATGGTTTAATCAGCTCAGAGAAATAAAGAAAAATTGGGTCCAGATAGCATGTTAAGGAAGAAAAAGAGATAAAACTATGATAACAGAAAAAAGGTTTGGTTCCCAGGCTGTGTTGCTACTCAAGTCACCAATAGGACAAACCATTAGCAAAGAAATGAAATAACTTCCTTATCTGTAATATGAGAATACTAAAGCAGATACTACTAAAGTTTTCTTTCTATTCCAAAAATTCGATTTCATCTAGTGCTTTTGACTTCACTCTTTCAAAGGCCTTTGAGAAGGGAGGGTGCTAAAAGATTCAAACTTTCAATTCATGATATATACTTGCCATCTCTGGATGACAACTAACAGAAAAATCTAGAAGAAAACAGACACATATTTCAAAATCAGAAAAAAACTAGGTCATCTCTTCTCCATCCTGTGCCACTCTTAGTTCCACATTCACTTCTCTCATAACCATTCTCCATTTCTTTTTTTAAAAGTGAATTGTATTGTGTATATTCAATGTTTACAACATAGTGTTATGAGACATACACAGATAAAATGGTTACAATAGTGAAGTAGATTAACAAAAGTGAAGCAGATTAATGTATCTATCATCTCACATAACTACTTTTTGTGTGACAAGAGCAGCTAAAATCTACCTATTTAACAAAAATCCTTAATACAACACAATTTTATTAAGCCTCAGGCCTAGCAGTAGCACCATTTGCCTTCCAGACAACTATGAGATTAGTGAATTCAGAAAGAATTTATTTGGGAAAATAGGGTCTAACAGTTTGCTAATTCAAGACAGAGTTCTTACCTTTATATCCCCATCACCAAATCCAGTGTCAAATACATAGCAGACACCTAATTTAACTCCTCTATATAATTTATTACACCAGTAACTCAGTGTGGTCATCCGCGGTCTTTATAGAAAAGTAAAATTTCAGGTACCATCAAGATCTAATGAATCAAGCTCCGTAAGTGGGGTACAGCACTCTGTTTTAAAACCCCTCCATGTGCGATTCTGATGCACACTCAAGTTTGAGAACCATTGTATTAAACCTCCCAGGAAATAACCTTCTTGTTAATTACAAAAAAGTGCTGGGTTTTTTTTCTCAGCTGCCATCACTTAAAAATGCTTGGACACACATGATGTTGTCAACTACTTAACTTCTGTCTCCAGCGTGCACACAAAGTGAACGTTAGTAAAACCTTTGGAGCCTCAGTTCCCTGGTCTGTAAAGCAGGAATAATACCACACGCTTTCATAAATAAGAGAGAGCTTACAGAAAGGCTCCTTTCTTTCCTTTCTTTTCTGTTACCTGTACCAAGTCCCTGCTACTTTACAAAGACAATAGTCCTAAAGAAGACACTCTGGCACTCCTCTGAAAAATGTCACCAGTGCCTCCCACACAGAAGAGCTCTCTAATGAGGTTTTCTTATGGAAAATACCACAGGAGGGAAATGAAGAGTTAAGAGTCCTTACAGACTCATATACAGAACAGCAGTTCTAAAAAGATGGTTCACAAGGTAGTGGGAAAAGCAATCATTCAAAATTGTGCACCTCTGTAACTTAAAAAAAAAAAAAAAAATCACCATTAAACAGAACATAGGCAACTTTCTCTTAAGTGTCCAAAATAAATCATAAATGATAACTGGAGATAAATAATAGAGATGAGGGGTGGGAGGTGCGGGGGCAGGAGGAATGAAGCTTTTGAAAATGCAAAAGAACTAGAATATATGACCCATATTAAAGTGGTACAATCCAATCCCCTAGATTTTCTGGGGGCAGCCTCACTGTCAAATTCTTTGTCCCAGTGTTGCCACACTATGTGTTCTGATTTGGGGTTCAAAAAATATGGTTACCGGGGGAAGCAAAAGCAAAAGCCCACTGCTGTGGGTGAGACCTAAAAACTGGGGAGTACTACTTAAAAAAAAAAAAAAAAGTTGAGAACTTTCAGAAGAATTCACTATGAACAATTCCCAACTTTTAGCTCCTCGCTCCCTTTGAATGGAATACTCAAAGGTTTAATTTGACCTCCTTGACAACTAGCCCTTTTTACGGGGATGAAAATAGATCAGTGCATGTGATGTGTCATTACACTCGAATATTTCGCACAGTAACCGCGCCAGAAGCATTCGTTAAATCGGCACTATCAGCTTTAATTCTTACTCCTCCACGCTGCCATCTAAGATAGGACACTCCTCTATTTTCGCTATTCTGGAGTAGCCAACATTCCAGTCTGCAGGACTGAAGTGAAATTTAATCGCTCATATCTTTTTAAGGGAACCTTTTACAGCGAACTTGGAAAAGTAATGCCAGCTATACGTTGAATGGCACCATGCTGGGAGTTGTAAAACCACAAACTCAGTGCCTGGCCGTCCGGGAGGTGGAATTCCAACAGCGGCTCCTCATTGCACCAAACTAACAATTTCTCCACACGACAGTACATCTTAATGGGGATGGTTACTCACTTTTTAAATAGTCAACACTGTCCCCTCCAACTCCCAGCCAGACATGACACTTCTACCCCACCCAAGAACTCCAGGGCGAAGGAAGTCTTTTGGCCACCTTAGTGCCTCCTCCTAGCACCAATGACTGACAGTGTCCCCAGGCGCCCAGCGAGGGTCCCAAGCGAGGCCGGGACCCAAAGGCTGCCCAAGTCTCCGCGTCCCAGGACGTCCTGAAGTCGCAGCCCCGTGCCCCCGCTCCCCGCCACGGGGCGCACTCCGCCTCCTCCGACTCCTGCGGCCCCTTTCCTTAGTCCAAACCCGCTGTCCCTGCCCCGCGGCCCTCCGGTCCCCTCGACTCTTCCCCAGGCAAACCCGGAACCAGGCGCGGGCTCAGGCCCAAGCCAGGCCGCGGGCTCCCCCAGCGCTCACCCCACCTCCCGAGCCGCCCCGGGACACGCGCCCGGGCGCAGACGGGAAAGTGCGGGGGCCTGGTCCGGGAGCCCACTTCCCGTCCGGGGCAGGGCAGGACTCACCTTCGTACTGCAGATCCACCAGGACTAGCAGGAAGGGGAACACCGAGCCCAGCCGGCTGGTCACGGAGCCGGGGGCCACCATGTCCGAGGGCTCGCAAGTGAAGAGAGGGAAGAGTGTGTGGCCCACCAGCACGCGCCGGCGCTCTGGCAGCAGTTGCGCCCGCCCCGGTCGGCTCTCGCTCAGGCCTCAACGGCTCTGGAGCCCAGCAGAGAAAGGCAGCGGTGGGCGGGGCCCGGGCGACGCTACGCCCCGGAGCGCCGCCGCCGTCCAATCGCCTTCTTTCTGGCGGCTTTCCTCCCGGGCTCGCCGGGGTCGTGGTTCGCGCTGATACGCTGCGGAGGCCGCCGCCCCGCCCCGTCTCTGATAGGATAACGTGGAAGCACGAGACGAGGCTGCGTCTGCCGGTCGCAGAGCTGTCAGCAAGCTCCAAACCGCCGCGGCCGCTCGGAGGGAAGCCGACTGGGAGTCTGTGGCGGTCGCTGAGTCCGCATGCGCAGGCTGCAAAGGCCCTTTTGGGCCAGTCCCGCCGCGCTAGGTTGGCGAGTGGGACGATTTGATCCTTCCGAGGTTCGCCAGCGTGATATTAGCAGACGAAAGCGCAGCCGCAGCGTCCGAATGGGAAGGCCACACACGGTCCCGGGGCGTCTGGAATTGAGGTCTCAAGTGAGCCGGTAAACACCGCCTCCCGCTGAGAGTCCCGGAACAAATACTGTCTGAACTGAGCCGTAAGCAAGAAACGATCAGGAGAAGCTGGGCGTTCATTAGGGCGATCTGATGATTAGACCATTTCAGGGACAACCAGAGACAAGTGCGTAATTGCTCTAAGGCAGGTAGGTAATTGGCCTGGAAACTTGGGCCCTGCCACCCCGACTTTGAGCAAACCAGCGTGCCCAGGAAAAACAGCGATTGTGGAAAACCCTGTGAAGAAGAGACCAGGAAGGCACTGTGGCTTAAGAGAGCGAGGCGTTCCTGAATGCAGCCAACGTCAACTGGTAAGCAAAATACTGTGAGAACGGATCCTGCATCTTGCGCTTACCATGGGAAATTCAAGAGAGATACGAACCTGAGCAAGATGAGGTTGAAGTTACTCAATGCGGCATTAAGCGTGTTCACAGCCACTTCCTCCGGCGTCACCAACACACACACTGTACACCAGCAGTATTTTTACACGGGGTATGCATACTTATTACTTCACCTGTATTTGCTGCCTTGCTAATATTAGAGAAACTCATGAATTATAAATAGCATAGTGAATTTGTGATTCCCTGAAGATATACTAAGGAGGACTTTTTAAAAGGCGTCTATTCCGAAGAGAACTAATATGGAGGAAATGGTTTCGAGAAAGAAAAAAGAAAAAACGGAGTCCTTGATTAGTTTTGGGGAAGGCAAAATAATATAATGTGAAGAGTAAAGGATTCAGATCCAGGAAACCCCATAACTTTTATGTAAGTTATCTTCATCTGTAAAGTGGTTAGGATCCTGATAGTCTCAAAGGTTTGTTTTGAGGTTTCATGAAGCAGATAAATTGTAGAATGTTATACCAGTGTTACTCATTATTCTAACAACAGCGGAATAGTGAAGAGAGGCTCCTTCAGAAATTCCTTGGGATTTTTTTTTTTTTTTTTTGACTTGTGTTTTTTTATATCACAAGGTAGTGTCTCTGAAAAATGGTAGATGATTTCAATGTCCACAAATATGCAGGTGAAGACATTCAATTGAGGTACTGTACCCAAAGCAGCCAGCAAGATGCTGAACATAGAAAATAACTATTTACACAAAATTGTAAACAAAATGCAATATGTCTAGACTGTGAGTTGTCACCAGTGTGCTGCCTATGACCCTGGTCTTAAGGAAAAAGTAGCAGAGCTGAAGAAGTTCTAAGGATGGAAATTAGAAATTATCAAGGAGATGATAAACTTTGTGTTATAGGAAGCAAAAGTAGCAGGGGTCTTCAATGGTTAGTGATTTTCAGATTAATTACATAACTATGAATTCTGTAATATTAGAACTAAGCTTTACGAAGCATTCCTTGAAAAAAAGATAATTTTATAACAAGGTAACATTAGAAAAAAATGTGCAAAACTAAAATTATGTGTATAATGCTTGGGAATGCTTCCTCCAATGTTCATCTAGTCATGGTTTTCACAAACCACTCTTGCCAATAAAACCAAAAACCAAAGTAATCCAATGATTGTAAGAAAAGTTACTGTAAATATGTTTGCATTTGTCAGAATCTATGGAGTCTTTTTGAAATTAAACATTAAATCTCTACTGTAATTCATACTATTTGTTAATTATAGTAAATATTTTTTAAAATGGTAGCATATTTATGATATATCCAAAATTAAGAGTATTACACAATTTTTATTAGGTTGATCTTTGTTTATTGACTAGGAAAAACAATGTTGGTAGAGAGGAGTGGACAGATCTAGAACGTATTTTGGAGGTAAAAGGGATAAGATTTGCTTAGGAATTAACTATGAGGAGAAATAAATATTCAGAAACAAGTAGAGCACTTATAAGCACCTTTTTGTGCCAAATTAAAAAAAAAAAAGCATTAAGTTAATGCCACCATATACATCATTCCACATTTATTTTTACAAACTTGTGCTTTTATTTCTAAAAAACAATTCTAGACTGGGCGCAGTGGCTCACACCTATAACCCTAGCACTTTGGGAAGCCAAGATGGGAGGATTATTTGAGGCCAGGAGTTCGCGACCAGCCTGAGCAACACAGCAAGATCCTGTCTCTGCAAAACAAATTTAAAACTAGCCAGGTGTGGTGGCTCATGCCTGTTGCCCTAACTACTCAGACTGAGGCAGAGGATTGCTTCAACCCAGGAATTTGAGGTTGCAGTGAGCTAAGATCATGTCACTGCACTCCAGACTGAGCAACAGAGTGAGACTTTATCAAAAAAAAAAAAAAAAAAAAGATTTTTAAAATTGAAATTGCTTTGTCAAAGAATGCGTTTAAACTTTTAAGATGCATTGTCAGATTATTTTTTCCCTAATGAAGTAATTTCTATTCCTATCAGCTGTTTATGTTCCTGCCTACTCACCATCACTAGATATAATTGATTTTCAGTTTTTGCCAATCTGAGGAATAAAATATGACCCTCATATGTCAAATTTATGGTTTATTTTCAAGGGTTTTGGGATTCTGATCAAATTTTGATACTTTCATATAAAATTTGGCCTTTAAATCACATCTTGTCTTCTCTGCTTTCCACCCTCTTTTATGTTGTTTCTTGGCTTCTGGCCACATGACTACAATCTCCACTTCTGTATTCACATCACCTTCTGTCATTTTTGACCTTCTTGCCTCCGTCTTATAAGGATCCTTGTAATTAATTATGTTGGGCCCACTGAGATAATCCAGGATATTCTTCCTACTCAAGTTCCTCAATTTAATCACATCTGCAAAAACTGCCTTTTGCTATAGAACAATGACAGGAGATTAGAATGTAGATATATTTGGGGGACCATTATTCAGCTTAACACAATACTTCCCCCTTCACCAGGTGGAGCTCATTTTCCCACCTTCCTTGAGTGTGGGCTGGACTTAGTGACTAAAACTTCCAAAGAACAGAGTATGGAAAGGGAGGTGGAGAGTAACTTCATAGTACAGAAACCTGGAAACACTATCTTGGCCAGGTGGTCAAAGTTAATATCATCAAGTCATGTTGCTATCATATACTCCCAATATACTGTGATGAGAAGGGCAATTCACGTGTGTGGTATTCTCAAAACCTATAATCCAATCTAGTCTAAACATGAAAAAAAAAAAATCAAACTAAAATTAAAGGACAGTCTATAAAACACCTGATCAGTATTCCTCAAAATTATCAATGTCATGGGAAACAAGGATTGAAATACTGTAACAGACCAGAGGAAACTAAGGAAACTTAACTGATGACTGAATGCAGTGTGCTGTATTAAACTGGATCCTGGAATAGAAAATAGACATTAGTGGAAAAACTGAAATATGAATAGTCTCAGGTTTAATAGTAATGTACCATTATTACTTTCTTAGTTTTGACAAATGTACCATGGTTATGCAAGATGCTAACAATAGGGAAAAATAAGGAGTATTTGGGACCTCCCTGTACTATCCTTATGCCCTTACTTGAAAATTATTTCAGCAATAGAAGTTTATTTAAAATATTGTGAAGGGCCTGAGTATTTTTAAATCAACTGCGGTGACTCTCTTGTGTATTTGTGTCCAAATGAGTTTTTCTGCATCAAATTTTATCTCCTCTCCTTGCAGAAGAAAGAGAATTAGCCCTTTACAGAGATAATAGTTGCCTAAGCCAGCTCTTTTTTCCGCTTTTTGATGCTCTTCTCTTTTTCTCTCACTTTGGAAATTGTAGGTTATTTGATTTTTTCAAATATCTGTTGTTACATACACATTCTAGTTATATTCTAGTCCAAACAATCTAGCAAAATAAAATAAAAATGCTGTTCACTGTATTTTTTATTTTTAAAATGTGAGTTCATTTAAATAATAGCTTGTGTTAATTATGAGCTGAAAGTTTTGAAGTATGATTTAAAGAGTCTTTAACATTACAATTCTGGACTACAAAGTATAAAAATTGTATTTTAAAAGGTTCATGTACTGTTTCTGATAAATAGACGAAACTTTGATCACTGGAATGTGTTAATACTAATTTAAAGGCAGCTATATATTTTCTGATTTTATAAGAAATTAACCAAGTACAATATTATATTTTATATACAATGGGTAAACTCTTCAAAATTTAAGATTTCTTAATTTCTAAATTAAGTGACATAATGACATGTCTTTAAATAGGTTTGATCTTATAAAATTTTTGTAATAACACAAATATAAGGACTTATTATTTTCCAGATTCTCACGTCTAAATCCAAACATATAAACACAATTGTATTAAATATAAATGTTATAAACACAATAATTAAACAATAGATAATCAAAATGGATTTTGAAAATAACATGAGGAAGACAGAGCAAGATAGCCAAATAGAAGCCTCCACCGATCTTCATCCCCACAGGAACACCAACTTTGACAACTATTTACACAAAAAAAGCACCTTCATAAGAACCAAAAGTCAGGCCAGCAATCACAGTACCTGGTTTTAACTGCATATTGCTGACAGAGGCGTTGAAGAGAGTAGTAGAGGCAGTCTTGAATTACCAACATCACCCCTCCCCTATCCCCTGGCAGTGACTGTGTGGCACTGAGAGAGAATTTGTACATTTGTGCAAGAGGAAAGGACAGTAATTATGGGCCTTTGCATTGGAATTTAGTGCTGGGAGCATTTAGATCAACTTTAGCCAGAAGGGAATCATCCATTCCAGCAGTCAGAACTTGAGTTTTGGCAAACCTCACCACCGTGGGCTAAAGAGCTCTAAGGTTTAAAATAAACTTGAAAGAACCTAGGCCACAAGCACTGCAACTCCTAGGCAAGTCCTCATGCTGTGCTGGGCTTAGAGCCAATGGACTTGGGGGCCATGTGACCTAGTGAGACACTAGCCAGGGTGGCCAAGGCAGTGTGCTTGTATCACCCCTCCCCCAACTTCAGTCAGTACAGCTAGCAGCTCCAGAATAGACATCACCACACGCACCTTCCACTTGAGGAAAGGAGAGGGAAGAGAAAAGACTCGTTTTGCAACTTGGATACCAGCTCAGCCACAATAGGATAGGGCACTGGGCAGGGTGGTGAGGCCCCCATTCCAGGCCCTAGCTGCCAGACAACAACATATCTAGACATACCCTGGGCCAGAGGGGAACCCACTATCTTGAAGAGAAGTACCCAGTCCTGGAAGGATTCATCACCTGCTGATTAAAGGGCCCTTGGGTCCTGAATAATCAGCAGCAGTAACCAGCTAATATGTGCTGTGGGCCTTGGGTGAGACTTTGAGGTATACTGGCTACAGGCATGATGCAGCATATTCACAGCTATGGGTGGCTATGAGGAAAGACTCCATCTGTTTGAGAAAAGGAGAGGAAAGAATAAAGAAGACTTTCGTATAGCTGAGGTGCCAGCTCAGCTACAGTAGGGAAGTGAATCAAGTGGGCTCTTGGATGGCATTTCTGGCCCTGGGCCAAAGGGGAGTCCACTGCCCTGAAAGGTGAGTTCCAGCCATGGCAGCATGGCCCACAAGCTGACTACAAAGCCCTTAGGTCTTAAGTGAACATCAGCAGAATCATGGCAATACTCCCAGTGGCTTGTGGTGTTGATGGACATGGGGACAGACTCCTCTGCATGGTGAAAGGGGAGGGAAGACTAGAAACGACTTCGTCTTATGGTTTCAATGCTAGCTTACCCTCAGTAGACTAGAGCACCAGGTAGATTTCTAAGGTTTCTGACTTCAGGTTCTGAAGTTACAGCTCCTGACTCCCAAACAGCATCTCTGAACCCACCCAGGGCTCTGGGGAACTTGCCATCCTGAAGAGAAAGACAGAAAACTAGCTGGCTTCACTGCCTGCTAATTGTAGAGCCCTAGGACCTTCAGCTAACATAGGTAGTAGTGGGTAGTGGTTACAGTGGGCCTTTGGCATAACCCATAGCTGTGCTGGCTTTAGGTCTAACCATCCACAGTCCCAGTGATGGTGGCCACAGGGGTATTTGTGTCACCCTTCCCCCAGCTACAGGTAGTGTTGCAGGAAGTCAGGGACCCCGAATGGAGGGACCAGCTGGCGCTGCGGCAGAGGAACATAAATTGTGAAGATTTCATGGACATTTATCAGTTCCCAAATAATACTTTTATAATTTCTTATGCCTGTCTTTAATCTCTTAATCCTGTTAACTTCATAAACTGAGGATGTACATCACCTCAGGACCACTGTGATAATTGTGTTAACTGTACAAATTGATTGTAAAACATGTGTTTGAACAATATGAAATTAGTGCACCTTGAAAAAGAACAGAATAACAGCGATTTTTAGGGAACAAGGGAAGACAACCGTAAGGTCGGACTGCCTGCAGGGTCGGGCAAAAACAGCCATATTTTTCTTCTTGCAGAGAGCCTATAAATGGATGTGCAGGTAGGAGAGATGTCACTAAATTCTTTTCTTAGGAAGGAATATTACTATTAATACCCTGAGAAAGGAATGCATTCCTGGGGGGAGGTCTATAAATGGCCACTCTGGGAATGTCTGTCCTATATAATTGAGATAAGGACTGAGATATGCCCTGGTCTCCTGCAGTACCCTCAGGCTTACTAGGATGGGGAAAACCCCAGCCCTGGTAAAGTTGTGGTCAGACTGGTTCTCTGCTCTCGAACCCTGTTTTCTGTTGTTTAAGATGTTTATCAAGACAATACATGCACCGCTGAACATAGACCCTTATCAGTAGTTCTCCTTTTTGCCTTTTGAAGCATGTGATCTACTCCCTGTTCTTACACCCCCTCCCCTTTTAAAACCCTTAATAAGAAAACTTGCTGCTTTGAGGCTCAGGGAGGCATCACGGTCCTACCGATATGTGATGTCACCCCCAGTGGCCCAGCTGTAAAATTCCTCTCTTTATACTCTTTCTCTTTATTTCTCAGCTGGCTGACACTTACGGAAAATAGAAAGAACCTACATTGAAATATTGGGGGCAGGTTCCCCCGATAAGGTAGCTCAACAGAGAGAGAGAGAGAGAGAGACAGGCTGATTCTGTTTGGGTGAAAATAAGGAAAAAGAACAAGAGTCTTTGCCTCATAATCCAGAGAATTCTTTCAGGTATTATCCAAGATCACCAAAGCAGTACCTCTATGTGTGTGCAAGAACTACAATGTTACTGCATTTAGGGGCCCACTAGTGCAGATATGACTGCAGTGACCAAAAACTTAGATCACAACATCCAAGTCCATTTAAATGCCTGGAATGTCTTCCCAAGAAGGATGAATACAAACAAGCCCCACTGTGAAGACTACAATAAATACCTAACTCTTCAATGCCCAGACACCAACAAACATCCACAAGCACCAATATCATCCAGGAAAACATGACCTCAGCAAACAAACTAAACAAGGTATCAGGGGCAAATCCCAGAGAAAAAGAGATATGTTACCTTTCAGACAGATAATTGAAAATAGCTGTTTGGAGGAAACTCAAAGAAATTCAAGATAATGGAGAGAAGGAACTTAACATCCTATCACATACATTTAACAACAAAATTGAAATAAGTAAAAAGAAGCAGAAATTCTGGAGTTGAAAAATGCAATCGACATACTGAAGGCATCAGCCTCTTAATAACAGAATTGATCAAGCAGAAGAAAATAATAGGTTGAAGACAGGCTGTTTGAAAATACACACTCAGAAGAGACAAAAGAAAAAAGAATAAAAAAGAATGAAGCACACCTACAGGATCTAGATAATAGTTTCAAGGGGGGAATCTAAGAGTTATTGGCCCTAAAGAGATGGTGGCGGGGGTGGGTAGAAAGTTTGTTCTGAGGGATAAAAACAGAGAACTTCCCAAAACCTCCCAAACCTAGACAAAAATATCAATACTGAGGTACAAAAAGATTATAGATCACCAAGCAGATTTAACCCAAAGAAGACTACCTCAAAGCATTTAACAGTGAAACTCCCAATGGTCAAGGATAAACAAAGGATCCCAAAAACAGCAAGGGAAAATAAACAAATAACATACAATTGAGCTTTAATATGTCTACCAGCAGACTTCTCAGTGGAAACCTTACAGGAAAGGAGAGAGTGACATGACACATTTAAAGTGCTAAAGGAAAAAAAAAATTACCCTAGAATAATATATCCAGTGAAAATATCCTTCAACCATAAGGAGAAATAAAGACTTTCCTGGACAAACAAAATCCAAGGGATTTCATGAACACCATACCAGTCCTACATGAAATGCCAAAGGAAGTACTTTAATCAGAAAGAAAAGGATGTTGATGAGCAAAATAAATCATCTGAAGGTACAAAACTCACTGGTAAGAGTAAGTACACAGAAAAACACAGACTGTTATAATACTGTAACTGGCAAGTGTAAACTGCTGTTCAGTCGAAAGATTAAATGGTGAAGCAATAAAACTAATGACTACGACAACTTTTCAAGACATAGTACAGTAAGATACAAATAGAAACAAAAAGTTTAAAAGCTGGGGGATGAAGTTAAGGTGTAGAGTTCTTATTTGTTTTTGCTTAAATGTTTGTTTATGTAAACAGTGTTATTATTAGCTTAAAATAATGGGTTAAAGATAGTAGTTACAAGCCTCATAGTAACCTCAAATGAAAAAACATATAACAGAGATACAAAAAGTAAAAAGCAAGAAATTAAATCATACCACCAGAGGAAATTA